TGAATGACAGCCCTTAGAAAATCATAAACCTTGTAAAAAATAAAAACTACTTTAATACATGGTTCTTTAAAACTACATATAAACAATGACACGACCAAAGATATTTACAGTTATATAAACTAGGATCAGATAACCAGTAGCTTTAATTGCCATTAATACTTTTTTTTAAATCCTCCTGAAAATTATATACAAGATATGCACAGAAAGATGTAACCTAATGCCTTTTCCAGTCTACTGTCATACTTGAGCAGAGATAATGATTGAAACACCGTAGGTAATGATTAAGAAACACCATGTGTGTTAATTAATAACTTACTTTCTCAGTTCTAATATCTTTTCTCTGAACAGTACAAGTAAATCTAATAGAAACCAAACCCAAAACTAGAATCATTTATTACACAGCATTCAACATACTTCTTTTTGTGTCACAACGGACAAATTACAGACACTTCATACCTGACTGTATGAAGAGCACTGTTCTAGTAGATAACCTAGAGTCAAAGGCTCTTGCTGAAATGTGACAGGGCAGTGGTGTTTCACCATTTTCTGGTAATCACATGTCCTGTAGATATTAACATACATTAGATCATCAGTATGATATGATAATAATACAGTTGATTCTGGAAACACCTGTACACTCATCACTCAGGTTGATTAACTGGAAAGAACAGTTAATTCATTACTTAAGTTGATTCACTGAAAAGAACAGTGCATTCCTTACTCAGGTTGATTCATTGAAAAGAACAGTATATTTATCGTATAATATACACAGAAGTCTGGTTCCATATTTAAGTTGAGATTTTCAATTTGGAATGCAATGTTTAACAAATTTCTTTCTACATGTGCACATATAAAATGCATATTCTAATAAAACTTTGGATGAAAATTTTATCTAAATGTAAATGACTCATAAAAACTAAAATCAAGTTTTATTCAAACTCAGTGTTTTGCATTGCATCTTTCTCCAGGGTTACAGCATCACATACAAATACAAACTGATAATAGAAAAGAGCATATATATAACAGTTAATAACAGCTTTAGTAATAGTAATTTCACGTGATATTGCATGCATGTTAAAAGGAATTAGAATGACTAGGCAACAGAAAAAAGCAAACTATCAATCAAAATCAAAAATAATAACAATAATAATTACAAATACTACAAATTATTTCTGTTTATTTTAGGCTTATAAGATTGAATCAGGAGAGAGATTTTGAATTTATGATCAAGGAAATTGTTACAATTTGCAAAGATCTTAATGTTAAATGGGATTTCATCTACTGTGCCATGTTTTGTTAGAAAGCGTTCAGCAGTGGCCTCTTTAGAATCAACTTTTGAATTGGCACAAATGTGTTTCTTAAGATATTCAAGTACGGGATGACCAGTTTCAACAATGTATTTATCATCACACTGGGTAAACATTATTTCTTGTATTACATTTTTAACAGTTCAAGTCATCCAGTCCATTGTTTCTAGCAATACAGTGGAAAGTCTACAGATTTACACTGCTAAAAAACAGGGGTTCGATTACCCTTGGTGGACACAGCAGATAGACTAATGTGGCTTTGCAATAAAAATACATACATATAATTATTTTTCAAATGAACAAGTAATGTTTAGTGTAATCCTCATGTTTTTTACAAAACAGACACTTAACCCAGATTTTTGGACAGCTTTACATAACTGCTTAGTGAGGGGTTCATCAACAAAGGGTAGAGTCCAGATGACATTTTTAGTATGTGAAGGTTTACTCAAATACTTTTGTCCAACTTTATTTACAAGAAACTTTATAAAAATTTCTGAAATATAATTATCAGGGTAATCATTACAAGAAAGAAGTTTTCTTAAATCCAATCTAGAAGCTGTCTTACTATCATTTGTATAGAAGATTATTTTAAGTTGTCCTATGATTATAACTAGTTTGGTATTAGATGGATGGTTTGAGTTGAAATATAAAATTAATGGTTTAGCACATGGTTTTTGATACATTCTAGTGGAAAGTTTGTTATTTTCAGCACAGGCCATGGTATCAAAGAACGATAAAGCCATGGAAGAATCTCCAGTGCACAAAAACAGTAAATTTAATAGTAGGATGTAAGTTGTTAAGGAAATCCATAAATTAAAAAAAAAAAAGAGATTTAATGTCATGATTACAAATACTGAAAATGTTTCCTATGTAACAATACCATCTGCAGGATTTTGTCCTGTTTGTCCTGCTAAAAAGAATAAACTGGATGACTTTTGTACTGTTAAAAATGTAATATATGAAATAACATGTACCCAATGTGATGATTGTTGAAACTGGTATGTGAACATTTTAAGGAACACATCCGTGCTATTGTGAATCTTGATTCTAAAAATAAACTGATGAACACTTTCTAAAGAAACATAGTACATTAGATAAAACACCATTTAAAATTTAATTCTTAGCAAAATATAATAGTTTCCTTGATCAGAAATTCAAAGAGTCTCTCATGATTCAGTCTTATAAACTTCAAATAATTCTTGGCCTTTGTAATTATTATTATTTTTTCCTTTGTTATTTGTTCAATAGCTTGTGCTTTTCTGTTGCTTAGTCGTTTTCATTCCTTTTACTGTGTGTGCGACAACACATGACATTACTATTGCTAAGTCAGTTTTAAGTTGTTATAGGTGTTCTTTTCAGTTATCAATTTGTACTCGATGCTGTAACTTTTGAGAAAGGCATAAGTTGAATCGTCAGGTTTGAATATTTTTTTTTTCTTTTCTGGAGTGTGATCAGTTATTTTTTCTAAACATGGTTTCATTCCTCCAGCCTTCTCAGCAAAGGTTAGAAACTGATACCATTTTTAAATCAGGTTTTCAATTGTTTGTATTTTCTTGTTGGGAATAATCAGAAAATTCAATAGACACTAATGTAGTACTTCAGGATATTGTAACGTGTTTTCTCCCTCCTTGTATTGATATAAGAATTATTCTAAGTTTATTGTTTGTGCAGATGTGTACAATTTATACATGACACATTAGTCGAGAAGGTCATTATAACTCTTTCAACACAATTTGATCAACCACGTGACCTCTTTGTACTCGTACAAAGTCTTTATAGATTTGATAGTACCAACTTTTAATATAGTATGTATATCTTCACAAAATTTGGAAGTCTTTTAGTACACATTATAAGTCTTTCACAAAAAAAATAATATTTTTGTGAAGCATTTAAAATAAACTAAAAAAACATTTGTCGAATATTTGTTTTGAATAGTCTATGTACAAAGTGATTTTCATGTTAAGATTAAAAAACTGTTCTTCATCTCAAAAATCTCAGATTTGATTTGTGCAATCTCTAAAACTTCATAAATAGATTTCAAATGTTTCTTTTCAATAAAGCTTTATATTTTATCTGTTCTTTTCTCTACCCTAACTCTATACAATGCTGGTCAATTT